GCAGCGCACACGTCCTTGTTTGCCGACGCTCTCGGCAAGGTGCTTTAGAGAGAAGGAACAAAGAGAGGGGCTGAGTTTGTCCCTGCAATTGTTCCGGACAGAGGGGCATTGGCTGGCGCTGAGCCCCCTCCAGCTGAGACGAATGGAGCCAGCATGGCGGCAGTTTGGAGGATGTGGAAAAGTCCCTTCACCATCTCTGAGAGGCTGGCTGTTGGGCCCCTGCTGTGGCTTTCATTGTAGGGAACTAGGTTACCATTTCCCTGCCCCAGATCCTCTAGTTAAATACCAGACAGAAGCAAAGGCTGAAGATTAAGAAATGAGCCCCCACTTCCAGGCCAATAATTGCCCTTACTCTGATCTCTTGCTGAGTCACGGCTCAGAGCTGGGTTATTGCTTGGGTTGGTTTTGCAGCAGGAAGAAAGGCCTGGAGCCGCAGGATGGCAGAGGGAGGAGGGTAAGGGGGACCGAGGGGATATTTTGAAGGTGTGAAATCAGCCGCATTTAAAGCACGAATTTGGAGGCTTGACCCTCACTTGTCGGTGTCGGGGTAAAGATATCACCACCTGGCAGGGCAAGGGAGGGCTGAGCAAATGTGAATATGCACTCACACCCACGTGCACATACGTGCTTCAGGGTCCATGCACGCTGGCATGTACATAAGCCTACATATGCACGGTCTTTTGCACGCTTAAGTGCACCTACTCAGGTATGCCAGTCCTCATTTGTAAGCTCACCTGCTTGCATACACCAGCACAGACGTCCCCATGGGTGTGTGCGAGCCTGCCCCTCGGAGGATCATCAGGAGCACGGGCAGCCGAATCCTGGTCCCACTGAAGGCAATGGCCACGTTCCCATTGACTTTAATGAGATCAGGATTTAGCTTTACATGGCTCAGGCCTTGGGGAAACTTACACCAGCAGAGTGCGTGTAGCTGAGTGAGCGAGGTGGATACTGCACGCTTGCGAGGTAGATGGATGTGAGCTACATGCAGATGGACACGGGAGGGAGAGCCTGCCCATGGGCAGCTAGGCTTGCTCCCAGTCATGCTCCTCTCTTAACCAACCGCCAAGTGCAGGCGGCGCCCACCTCTCCAACCCGGAGACGAATGCTCGTTCCCCTCCCCCACTTCCCCGGAGGGAGGCCCTCGCTGTCATGCAGACCTCCCACCCTGGAACATCTCCTGCGGGGTCACGCACGCAGACTTTCAGCGCTGCCCTGGGGCCCAGCTAAGAAGCTAGAGGCTCAAACTATCAGTGAAGACTGGAGAGAAGAGGCAGGAGTGGAGGAAGGGTGCAAAACATCAGCTCTTTCCTCCCCTATTCCCTGGTCACCACATTGAAGGGGACAGGAGTGGGCGGAGAGAGAACCAACTAGCCCTTGGCTACAGCACGTGGATAGATGTCAGGAGGAGACTGGAAAGCCTCAGACCTGGGTAGCCACTCTTCCTTAATTCAAACAAAACCCGTTCTGCTGTGATCACGGTGAGCCCAGTTTGTCTTAGCATAAATATCGGGAAAGGGTCCACAGAGAGGAGCAATGAGACGTCCAGGTTCAACTGTGTAAAAATCAGTATCGCTACATCGGCTGGATTTGAGGTGTTAATGCCCACAGAGCTGCTGCTCTGCGTTTCTTTAGTGCTGGGGAAGTGTGGTGGGTGGGGGGCTTTGCCCTCCCTCCAGTGTGATGCTGGAATGAGCATGCAGTCCCAGAGAGGGTGGAGTCTCTTCAGACAGCCAGCGGGCCCATCATGCACTGCATATCTTCCTCCTCTTCCAGGTTGATGCTGCTGGAAGACAGATGGTGCCTCTGGGCTGGCCTGCGGGTCAGGGCGTTGTCATCTGACCCCTTGATACCTGGAGAAGAGAAGACGGCGATTACACACTGCACAGCGGTGCCCACTGTCAGCAGAGAGCAGGGGACCGCCGAGATACCACTTGATATTTTAAATCTGGGCACAGCATGGAATTGCCCTATAGTTGAAGAAGGATGGGACAGTTGCAGGGAGCTGGGGAAGCAGCTCTGCTAACAGCTGGGTTTTGGACTCTTTTTTGCAACATTACAGCGGGCTGGTCTCCTCACTGGGCCCCATTTTAGCCAAACTTCTAGAAGTTCATGGCCAGGGGCAGAATTTCAGGTAAACGTGTGAGTTCACAGACAGCGGCGCTCCAATAAGTCCCACGTTGCTTCAGCGCTTTGCAAACTACCAGCGGGGATTCCAGCTAGGGGGAGACCCTCATCTTACAGCAACCCGTGCTGGGAAAAATGACTTCACTCTAACTGGCTTCCACCAGACGGAAAACTGCTGCCTCAAAGCGGGGCTGGTTGCGGCAGGACAAAGATCGCCCAGGCTCCTTGTTGTGGAAATGACTGGGATACGCTAGTGCTCGCTTCAATCAAAATATACAATGGCAACAACAATCCATTGTATGTCTTAATTACCTGGCTTCTGAACAGAGCCTGCAGCTGTAGATAAACTAAAAACATAACCGCCGTGCTGAGCCGGGATTTTTGCTTAGTGCAGGAAGCGTGTGTCTGTGTTAATTTAGGCCAAAGGCATTACACTTTTGCCCAGGAAATTTATGTCGCTTAGCCTGCCTACAGCACAATGCTAAACGAGGCGACTAACTCCCGTGAGTTTACATCAAGGTTCACAAGCCTTGGAGTGTTTTGCTCCAGAATCAAAATGGCACCACCCCCATTGTTTGTTTATTTGCTGACAGAACGAAGAAACGTCCCAGAAGAAGGGGGTTCTCCCACCGCTCTGCCCCCTGAGACCTGGAAATCCACTTCAGCAGCAGCAGGCCTTGCAGAGACACAAAACTAATCCTGAAAGGGCAATGTGTATGTCACATCGTGGGGCCACCACAATCCCAGCCTGATGCCACCACTGAAAGCTACCATGGAGAAGCAGCGTCAGGATGGCACCTGGGATTGTTTTCTGGCTGTCGGCAAGGTCCCTGCAAATACTGGGCCATGCAAATCCAGGGTGTAGCTCCACTGACTGCCATGAAGTTACATTAGGGATGAATTTGGTCCATCAACTGCTTGCCCCTTCCTTCCTGGCTGCTGGGAAGATGGAGAGGGATCCCAGGGTTTAGCATTTTCCCCACCACTTTGTGTGCATTATGGAGAGGACTTGGGTCACCTGCCCAAGACTAGGTAGGGCATAAGATGCTCCTCTTAGATCTGTTGGTCTCTCACAGCCACACGTGGGGCCAGAGCCAAAGGCTGCCTATCACTGCTCTAGGTACACATGGGATTTTTTCAGGATTAAAGGTCACTGACTTCACATGTACTTTCTCACGGCATAAAGTCAACAGAAATCAGTCAAATCCAGCAGGTTAGGGGAGGCTGAAGACCTTAACTGCTAATGCACACAAAGAGGTCAACAGGATTCTCAGGGTATAAAATAGGGATGTTGGATGGGGAGTAGGAGGGCTCTGTTCAGACCTACAACCCTAGGTTTTCAAAGCAATGCACAGCGATTTTGGGCCAGATTGTTAAAGGTATTTAAGTCCCTATCACCAATTGACTTCAATGGGAGATAGGCACCTAACTACCTATAAAACGCTGGCCCTTATAGTCCGCGAGAAATGGTTTCAAACCCCACAGGAACTGCTTAAAAAAGGGAAGCGGGGTGATTTGGGAGTTAAAGCACTGGACTGGGATTCAGGAGACCTGGATTCAGTTCCTGACTCTGCCACTGACTCCCTGTGTGACCTTGGGCAAGTCACTGCTCTCACTGAATCCTTAGACTTCAATAGCGCCAGATCAGGCCTAGTCCTCTGGGCCCCGGCTCTCAGCCTGATTAACTCCAACACGAACCAGAACCTGCCCTCCCCATCCAAAGCAATATTCCATTATGCCATGGAGGGGTAATTTATTCCCCTACAAACCACCCCAGGGTATTATTTTGGGTTGGTTGGTTTTTTGCACTGGGAGTGGCTTTTTCCCTTTGCATGTGGATGGGTAGCACACGCCGGCAGAACTCACCAAAGCCTTCACTGTTTGTTTTTAAACCACAGCCAGTGGCGGGGGCCGGAGGAGAGCAGCCCAGCTTCAGAATAAGCCCCCCAACATACGACCAGTCTTTCGCACTGAATCCAAGCAGTGGGCCCCATTCTCCATTGTCCTGCACTTTGCGGCATCCGTTATGCCAGTGCCCAGGGGGTGAAACGTTCTGCTCCAGGAGTGTTTGACACCCACTGTGCATTGGTGTCAGTGACGACCCCAGGTGCAGAGCAGTGGTGATCCAGTCTCACCGGGTTTGGAAATCCCCTCATGTTCTCAAGGGGACGCGCTCACCATCAAGGTGTACAGGGGCGGGGCCAAATTTTTTTCCCCATTAATCGTGGCCTGGGGGCAATTTTGGCTCATCAAGAAAAGTCTAAAAAAAAAAAAATCAAACAGTAAAAGGAGAGGGAGGGTTGTTTGGACTTTGCGTATCTCATACCTATTCGTCAATGTTTATAGGGCAGGACTCCGGAACCATGGCTGTTCAGTAGAAAAGACCAAAAGCAAATGGTGAACAAAAGACACACGCACAAAACAGAAACAGCAATACACAGGAGGTTCGTTACTCTGTGATCCTTGTATCACTGCAGGAGGTTCTCCATGCAAACCCCACCACACCCCGGCTGAGTTAACACAAGGCTCTGGCACCGTGCTCCAGCTCGGATGATGTTCCTTAGAGACCATCTGAGTTGGCCGTGATGGGAGAAATGGAAGGAACCCACCCTGGCTCCCTACTGGGCGGAAAGGATAGAAGTGGCACCCAGCGGGCATTGTATTCCACATGTCATGCCATTAAAACTGCTGGGTTGGGAAACAAAGCCCATCAAAGCCACACGTTCTAGCACGGCATTACCACTCCACTCTACAAGCTGAATGGCATGTTCACAGCATATGAACGCCCCAGTTTACGGTGGAGTTCTCCACCGATTACCACAGACAGGAGTGCACGGTTAAATCTAATGGAAGAGAGAACCGCAAAAGACGAGTCTTGAGGACAGGGCCTGGACAGCTCACGTCTACGAGCCAGGCTTCTTTTATAAAGAGAGAGGCAGACTTCCCCACTGGGAGTTCTTCCTCCCAAACTCCTGTCCATCCCCGGGATCTGCATGGCTCCCTCACATCTGTCCCCGACTGCCAAAGAGAAAGAAACAAATGTGTCCTTGTGAAAAAAGATTACACAGCTTGGGCTCACTTCTGGTTTGGGAGCGTTTGGATGCAGCTGCACCCTGAACATTCCTGCCACCAAACCCAGTGGGCCTGATTCTGATCGCACCTGCCCTGGTTTTGCACCAATGTATCTCCACTGATGTCAACAGAGATATTCCTGATTTAACCCAGTGTAAATGAGAACAGGGTTAGCCCCATGGAGTTCACACTCCACAGACTTTCTGTGAGGGATGCCTGCAAGGTGTAGGGATCAAGTGGTCCAAGAGGGTTTAGGCTGGTGTTTTCAAAGGACCTAACGTAGGTAGAAGCCCAAATCCTGCAGAATTTGAGTGGGAGATCAGCACCCAACTCCCATGGAACTCTGACAATACATACCCAGGAACCCTCTCATGCGTCCTCTGCCACTGGAATTACTCTGGGAAACTCCACTGTTGGGAAAACCTTTGTTTGTGAAGTGCCTCGGGGCCATTTTCTCCCAGACCCTGGGCACTAAGTAGTCAAACACTTGTTTGTACAATGTATTATAGTATATGTATTACACCACAGACCCCAAAGTGATTGAGAAACTATGGGCCTGATCCTATTGCTACTCACTTAAATAGAAGTAGGACCACATGCTAGAACAGGGGTGGGCAAACTTTTTGGCCCAAGCGCCACATCGGGGTGGGGAAATTGCTTGCAGGGCCATGAATGTAGGGCTAGGGCAGGGGGTTGAGGTGCGGGAGGGAGTGCGGGGTGTGGGAGGGGGTGCGGTGTGCAGGAAGGGGCTCAGGGCAAGGGGTTGGGGCAGAGGAGGGGTGCAAGGTGCAGCAGGGGGTTGGGGTGCAGGGTGCAGCGGGGGCTCAGGGCAGGGACTTGGGGTGCAGGAGGGGTGCAGAGTGCGGCAGGGGGTTGGGGTGCAGGCAGGAGGCTCAGGGCAGGGAGTTGGGATGCAGGCTGCGGTAGGGGGCTCAAGGCAGAGGTGCGGGGTGCAGGCAGAGGGCTCATGGCAGGGAGTTGGGGGGCAGGAGGGGTTCAGGTGAGGGCTCCAGCCCAGCACCGCTTACTTGGAGCGGCTCTGGGGTGGCAGCGGCATGCAGCGAGGCCAGGGCAGGCTCCCTGCCTGCCCTGGCCCCGGCCCCGGCCCCGCGCTGCTCCGGGAAGCGGACGGCACCACGTCCCTGCGGCCTCTGGGGGAGGAGGCGCAGAGGGCTCCGCACGCCTGTGGGTACCTCCCCCGAAGCTCCCACTGGCCGCGGTTCCCCGTTCACGGCCAATGGGAGCTTTGGGGGAGGTACCCACAGGCAAGGGCAGCTTGCAGTGCTCTCTGCTCCCTCTCCCCCAGGGGCCACAGGGACGTGGTGCCGGCTGCTTCTGGGAGCGGTGTGGGGATGGCAATCCCACGGGCCGGATCCAAAGCCCTGAGGGGCCAGATCCGGCCCGTGGGCCATAGTTTGCCCACCCCTGTGCTGGAAGCACTGACACAAGGATCCCTTTTCCTGATCAGTGAATTGCAGCCCTTCTAATAATATGCTTACTTAGAGTATATTATTCAGCCACTAGATGTCTCTGTGCTGTATAGTGTTCCAAACAGGGAGCGGCCCTGGTAAACAAAGAAGACAAAGCTAGAACTCAAGTTGGGTAAAAGCCTGTTTGTTTGGAACTGAGTTTGTAATAGTTTATTATTAATATTTTTAAACAAATGGCTCTTGCTTAAGACAGTGATTTCATATATTATGACAGCTCTGACTGGGATCAAACAGATCAGCTTTTAAAACAGTGAGCTGCAATATTACATATTTCCGGAGAGGAAGAGAATACCTCAGCCTTGTTTACCCAAGAGATAGTTGTCCATACGAGATCTGCTGGATGCTCATTTTATATTGCAATGTCCAAAGATAATACTGGGCAATTTACTAAGCACACGCTCTTGGCCTTCAATGTAGCTGTGCTTTGCTGAAAGAAGTGTTATGGCAGAAAGTAAATTTACAAAAGCATCATGTAAACAGAGTGTGCTACCACCAGGCAGCTTTCTGTGGAGGGCTCTGCTGTGTACCTAGTGGAGTGAATTACTCTGAAAGTAAACAACAATCAAAATGAAACCGTATGACCTTGACTCTGAATTCACATCAGTGCAGTTTGATGTGGGTGTATTCCCATTGATTTCAGAGGAGTCACATCTGATCTATACTGACAGGAGTTCAGAACTGGGCCCAATGGCCAAAATTTACCAGGCTTCCGAGCTAAATAAAGGACGCATTACTCAAAGGTGTTGAGGCACTCACAGTTTCTTCCCAGTGCAGTAAATGGAGGCTGCCCTTGATCAGCAACTTGGAAAATGTAAGCCCTTAATAAAGGTTGCTATCTCCAGGGCCGGTGCTACCATTAAGGCAAACTAGGCGGTTGCCTAGGGCGCCAAGATTTGGGGGCGCCAAAAAGCGGTGCCTCCAATCTTTTTTTTACAGCGTTCCTGGGCTGGGCTGCCGGCGGCGCGCTGACACATGCGGCTCAGACTCCCTCTCCCAGTGCAGCGACCGCTCCATGCAATTATTGTCATTGCCGGCGGGGGCGGCATGTTCGGGGAGGGGGTGTAGCAGAGGTGAGCTGGGGTGGGGAGCCCTGCGGCAGCTCCCCCCCCCCGCGCTGAGGCACCCCCCCCGCGGCAGCTCCCCACCCCAGCTCATCTCTGCTACGCCCCCTCCCCGAGCACGCGGTCGCCGCTCCACTTCTCCCGCCTCCCAGGCTTGCGGCGCCAATCAGCTGTTTTAAGCCGGGGGGGAGGGGGTGCCTCAGGGCGGAGGGGGGAGCTGCCGCAGGGCTGGGGGTGTGTGCAAGGTGGAAGTTTCGCCTAGGGCGGGAAACTTCCTTGCACCGGCCCTGGCTATCTCTGGACACCCACACTGCAAAATAAGGTCCCAATTTAACTGAGATGTACACCAGGGATCGGCAACCTTTGGCATGCGGCTCGCCAGGATAAGCCCCCGGTGGGCCAGGCTGGTTTGTTTACCTGCCGCGTCTGCAGATTCGGCCGATTGCGGCTCCCACTGGCCGTGGTTCGCCTTCCCAGGCCAATGGGAGCTGCTGGAAGCAGCGTGGGCCGAGGGATGTGCTGGCCGCCGCTTCCTGCCACCCCCTGCCGCCCCCATTGGCCTGGAGCGGCGAACCACGGCCAGTGAGAGCCGCAATCAGCCGAACCTGCAGACGTGGCAGGTAAACAAACCGGCCCAGCCCGCCAGGGCGAGCCGTGTGCCAAAGGCTGCCGATCCCTGGTGTACACCGTATATTGCAAAGTGTGTCCATTTAAACCGCCTGCTAGCTTTGGTCAGTAATACAGTACCTTCAAATCATTCCCCAATAGCAGAGTTATCTTTTGCTAATTGACATTAGAGGCCCAATTCTGATTTACACTAATGCCCCTTTACATCACACTGTTTACACTCACTTTACAATGCTCTGGCATTTTTGCATCAAAGATTATTTGCCGTTTTGTGGAATTCTATGTTTCTAATGTTAACTGATTTTCATTTCGAGGTTGAGCTACAGAGCTACACAAATAAATCTCCAGGTCCCAGAGATGACGGGAAATTAACAAGATGAGAAAATCCATTAGGAGCTAGACATTGCATCGCTAAGATAGCTCTTTATATAGAACTGGATTAGCGAGGAGAGACCTTCAAAGATCAGAAGGCAGCATTCCACAGGGAGACTTGATACAGAGAAATACGGTATCGATTACATACACTCCCCACACCACCCCGACTTCATAGAATCACAGAAATGTAGCGCTGGCTGGGACTTCAACCGAATGGTTCCAAGGTTGCTCCAGCTACTACCTTAAGAACCCTAGGATTAATTTCATCAGGCCCTGCTGTCTTGAATACATCTAACTTATCTACATTTTCTTTAGCCTGCTCTCTCCCTGCTTTGGCTTGCATTCCTACCCCCTTGTTGTTAATATTAATTACACTGGGTATCTGGTCACCATTAACCTTTGTAGTGAAGACTGAAGCAAAATAGGCATTAAACACCTCAACTTTTTTGATGTCATCGGTTATTAGCTCTCCTTCCCTGCTCAGTTGATGACCTACACTTTCCTCCGTCTTTCTCTTGCTTCAATGGTCTTTTGATCAGATCCATAATAACTAACTCTTGGAAGAGCATCTAGAATAGAAGTTGGCCATTTGAAATAAGCCTGCTGCAAAAATGCTTACGCTTCTAGTACTTTACATAATTACAACAAGGGCCCTGGCCTGACTTTAAATCTGCTGAAGATACAGAATAGCCTGTCACGTTTATTTAAACCTCGTCCGCGCTGTGAGGCCGGCAGCGTAACC